TGTATTTCATTCTGCGTACCATACAGGGTGACGACCTCGGCGTTGCCAGGGTCACTCAGCTCCTTCTTCTCCCAAACCTTCCTAAAGGCCGGGACCGACATGGGCTTCTTGCGATGGACCAGTCGCGGATGCGTCTCCTTAATCACGCCCTTTTCGCGCACTTCCTCCAGCGCCTGGAGGCGCATCTTTTTGAACTCTGATATCCTAACCGCTTCACTCTGTGCTGGCGTGTCCTGCTGACCCTGCTGCTCCGTCCCCTTTGCTACCCTATCCTTCTTCTGCCTCTTCCCTCCGGGCCCATCCTGGACGCTGGCGCCACTTGGTCGACCGACGTGGAAGGACTGGGCTAGTCTGGCAACTTGTGGTGTGCGTGTTGCCGGCCGCAAAAGCCGTAGACTCTGAATTAAAGTCATCGCGTCTGATTACTTCCTGTTAGCTTCGTGGTTCTTACAAGACCAATGGACTGCTAAGAAGGTTGGAAACAGTGAAGGATGTCAGATAATAGGCGGTTTAAATCAACCACAACAAAAGAGCTGTGTAAGTCGCAGCGGTTCTGAATTGCTTGCAATCATCATATGAAAGGTAGGATAGAGGGAGAGAAAATGGAAGAGCGGAGCTCAAGACTTACCACCATAGTCGCCCAAGAAGATTCTGGCTCTTCTTGGTGTGGCCAAAAGATAGTTTTAGGATCACCTTTGGTACAGAAATTTTGCGACAGCGCGTTTTTATCGTGGCCAGAAACGGGTCTTTGACGTTATCGATAAAGCCGTACGGAATAAGCCGGCCCGGGAAGAGGGTTCCCAACCCAGCAGCGGCGATTGGACAAGGGAGCTTCAAAGCGGGGGCCGACTCTTGCGTACCTCACGCAGCAGACAGGACAAGCTGAATTGCCCCAGGCGCGCATCTGGGTAGCTGACGGACGATAAGATAAGGCAAAGGAGCTTCGTAAAATCTCGACTCTGCGACGTCAAGCAACCAAAGCTGTCCGCAAGTCAATAATCGCTTCAGTCGCATCCCACGAACCTCGCTACTGATTCATCATCACTTCGCTCTTCCCAATTTCTTAGAAACTCCAGAACCACAAACCGCAAATATGTCTTTCTTCGGAATGGGCCGCCCCAAGCTGTCTTCGGACGAGAAGATCGCCATGGCTGAGCAGGAGATGCGTCTGCTGGCTGATATGCACAACCGGTACGTCACCATCGACAACACCCTTTCCTAGGGAACCCCCTCTCGAAGCATTCAAGCCTTTTAAAACCTCGAAGCGAAGCGGATGCATAGAGGATAAAACTTGGGAGGAAGGAGGATCTCGTCGAAACAACTGTAGCTAACATGCGCGTCATAGCCTGACCAAGATCTGCCAAACCAAGTGCCTCCCCGACTACCGCGAGGGCGACCTCAACAAGGGCGAGTCCGTCTGCCTCGACCGCTGCGCCGCAAAGTTCTTTGAGGCGCACATGAAGGCCTCCGAGGTGATGCAGAACGAGAGCCAGAAGAGAGGCGGCGGCGGTATGGGTGGTGGCATGTTCTAAGTTTCTGTCAAAACGAAATGGAGTGTACACGAATGAGCGCCAGTCATGATGGGTCCTGCGACTGAAGAATCACGATAGAGGAGAGACAGAGAGAAAGAGCATCGACAGAGCAAGGGCGGCCTCGCGGAGGCTGGCTTTTTGCTCTTTGTAGCATATGCCATGACGCAACAACATCTCAGGATGAGATGGGGACGGGGACGTGGAGTGGGAACATCGCGTCACAAGCTTGGGCAAAGCTTGGGAAGACGTGACCTATTCGGATGTACTTTTGAAGCAACACCTCGCAACCGGGGGCTTCGTGTATAATACAAAGGGGGACTGGAAACAAGTCCTGTCAATGAGAAGAACTACCCTCACAACTTTCAGGTTTTATCTATGTACCCTGACAAGTGGATGATAAAATTCCCGGTTCACGTCATCGAGTGATACAGAAGCCATATGATAATGGGCTTTCTGTCCGGGTAGCTATTTAAGAGTTAGCTATCTAGTAAACTCAACACTTATTGCTCACGTCCTGTAGGCGGCATCTCGTTATCTAATCGTTAGTTAGCGTGACGCATGCTCTCCACGGTGAAGTTCTTGGTAGGCAAATTCGATGCAGCTGAGGAATTGGAGGTTATAAGAAGATTGTCATACGGATTAGGGTGTTGTGTACTCATGACCTTCAACTTGAGATCTGAGGCCGCTGCCACAACCATCAGGAGGGCATGTCTCTGATTCATAGTCCACCCAGGATCTTGTCTTTAATGACCAAAAGTCCGCAAAGTAGTAGAGATCTCTGTGTCCATCTGTTTTGAAATACTTCAGTCCGATCCAGACGTCGTTCTGTATGAGATCATTTGAGTACGAATGCAACCCAAGTTGAGTTGACAAACATAGTGTATCAACTTTGGTTCATTGCACTGGACGAAGCTGCGATCTAGCAACAAGGCTCTTGACATGATTCTCAGTTCCGGGACGTCCAGCATGTAATGGTGTTAACTTTTCACAGAGCGACATCTAGTGTAAGATACCATTGCGAAGTTATAAGAACTCGATGGCAAGAGTACCCGCACCTGGCGTCAATACTTTCATATTCTTCAAGTAACTGATGCCTGTACATCAAACTGCGCAAAGGCAAGCTATGCAGATGGCCGACCTATATTTTCATGATAAAAGATATCAGCTCACTCTCAAGTGACCAAACTTCAAAACAGTCTCCCAAATCACGAAGCCTCAAAATCAAGTGCTCTGATAGGCCAGCAACGGCAAATATGGCAAAAGAAGCCAATGCACCAGAGGACAATCAAACAAAAAGACCCGCGGGCCCCGTCCTCCCTTTTAGGCGAATCGCAGTAACATGTCACCAGGTGGTTGGGAACTCGGGAGCCCATTCTTGGAGCCATCTTAGTCAAACCTTCCCTAGCCATAACGGAGCGACAACAAATTCCCTTTTTAGTCAGGGAGCTTTCCAGAAAACGTCCAAAAACGCGTGGCCGTCGTCGTCGTCGTCGTCACCGGCAATTCGGAGCCGAATTACCATCGGGATTCGGTCTTGGCCTTCAAGGTACCCGTAGAAACCTCAACTACTCAACCTCAAGTCGATTCTCAAAAATCTGCCTTGCCTTACTAAAGCATGTGGATTCGCGACGACGGTTTTCTGAGGGAGCTCGGCGCCGAGGAGCCAAGCGTCGGTACATGCTCGGCTCTTAAGGTTCAACCTCCGAGGGCCATACGGCGTAAGGTAAACCCGGTAAGTTTCAGAATATCTTGCGTGAAGTGCTAGAGCGGTTCACTGGTATTATCCGTACGGAGTAGTTTCTGCGCGGACTATCTTTTCGCACGTGGACCGGGAGTGGATTTGGGGAAGGAAAAGAGCCCGCCAGATCTGGGATTGCCCGCCGGTTCCCACGTGATGTCGCGATGGTTCTTCGTGGACGACGGCCCAGGGTTCTGATGACGAGGGGTGGGGAACAGGATGGCCATCCGGACAGCCTCATTTGGAGGAAAATGGACAAGAGCTAGAGCCAAGAGGCAGCCGGCACGAGTCGTTGTCGGTTTGCCTCGAATAAGCCGGGAATATGTAGCTACGTGCTCTGTGTCTGTGGTTCGTCGAGCCCCAATTGATAGACTTCAATTAATCAGCGTTAGACAGATAGAGTAATATCGGTCAACTTGGTCGGCAACGATGACCTCGAGAAAGCTAAACAAATCATCCGAAGAATTTAAGAAAATTGGTGTACTTCGTACAGAGTACCCATAGAGGGCAATCGTGCTCAACCAGGGCCACGTGCTTCGCTGCAGCGAAGCAAGAGCCTTTCTCTGATACCACAGACGCCGCGGTAGCTCAGTCGTGGTTTTGTGCATTCGTACATGACTCTCTGCCACCAGGGTATCACAATGAATTTTAAGCAGTGGGCGATGGATTGCTGTGAAATGCGTGGACGTGTTGAGTTGTCGACCGCCTTTCCATGTTACCCCAGAAACCAGAGGGTGTTGAACATAACAAAATGAAGGACTCCTTTCGTAATGTATACGAAAACCGAAGAAACGGGGCTCTTTCCGGGATGTGTTAAACATAGAATCGAGAAATTGAACGAGATTCCCCCGTCCCGTAAAGGTTGGTCGGAGGAATCCAATAGGCGAGATTGTCAACTGGGCCTTTCTCGCCCCCAAGCCAATCATCAAATTCGTTCGAAAAGTCGGTCAGGTCTAGACTTTTGAAGTCTGGTTGGCACCTTGCAGAAGAAAGACGCAGAAAATAGAATGTCATTATTGGGATGCAAAGTGCTCTCCATGAGGAAGACCGCGGCTGCGTTAACGATGGTGGCCGGGGAAGCAATGCCGGTTGATCTACCGCGAGCACCACCACCAGCTGGCATGGAGGGTGATGTAAATCCTCACTCTGTCGAGTAACTCATACCCGAGAGCTTGGGGCTCTGTTGACTCGTTTAGATCTGCGACAGGGTGAGTTGACGAACAGGCGATGAACGGGCTCCGGCGGGAATGACCAAGCCAAGCATTGGCCGTGCTATGCCGCCCTTGAAAAAGTTGAGCAAACTCAGGGTTTTGAAGGGAAAGGAGGAGAGGGATGCTGTTTCAACAATTCGGATGAAGACGAGAGAGTTGGCAGGCCTGGCAGTATGTGTGTGCTGCGCGGCTCAGCCAGCATGGAGCTTGTTTCGTACGCATTGACGGGAGGACGTCAGCAAAGATAAGAGGTGCATGAGGGGTCGTAAGGCAAGGAAGGGTTGAGCGGACGAGACGTTGACAGAATTCCCGTTCTCAGTTGAGTCTGGAGAAAGTTTGTGCGTATCAGTCTAAGTGTGAGAGAATGTCTTCGCGATGGTGGTTCAGTTTGACTGAGCCTCAAACCGTGGTGTCGCGATGAAGTTGCCGGTGTGGCTTAGCGGCTTTTCTTGTGTGTCTGCCGAACCTGTCGTCACTGCATTATTATCCGTAATACTGCACAAGGCCGATCGTCATCCTCTACCTATGCGAGGGTGCGTAGGTAATCATGGCACATATCTCGGGGCGGCGCTCGCGGACGGGTTCCAGTGGGGTTCTGGGATCGGAGGCCGTGGGTCCAGAGATGAGGGCGTGGGCGTGGGCATGGGCGGCATTGAGGAGGGTGGGAGGGATGTAGCGAGTGCGGGAGTGCAACGGTGGCATGGTGGACGGGTCGTGGAGATGACGGTCTTTGAATTGGGTCGAACTGACGTAGCACGTCTTGAAGACTTGGCGGCGCCGGGAATGGGGGCAGCTGGTACGGAGTACAGGTATGGATAGAAGCGAGCCTATCCGGTCCTTCTTGGAAAGGCCTCGTTCCAATCCAAAGAGACGATTATCCGCATAGAGATTGCATGTCCATGTTGGTATCCGTATCTGTGAATAGAAAGGTAGGTACGGATACCGGTGAACTGTATTGGCATCTGTAGCGAAAGCCAAAGAGACGCGTACTCTGTCTTCGCTTATTTAGTGCTTTGCAGAGAATTATTGCTTTTTGAAACTTCGTAACGGGGAATCTATAGCGGAAGATGCCGTAAGCTTGGATGGTTGGTTCGGGATACCTACGGCCTACGGGCCAGGAATCGGAGTGAGATGAAAGCAAAGCAAAGCAAAACAAAACAACGTGATGGAGGCAGCAAAATAGAAAGCCAAATCAGCCATATGCACGATCGACATGTGTGATGTTATTTTGGTCGCAAAGCTGGCATGAGCCGTCAGCCGCTTTCCCTTCAGCCCTTTGACAACGGAACGCCGGGAAATCAGCACCTACCTTGAGCTTAGAAGGTTGAGACTAAAGCAGGTAGGTGCTACCTAAGCAGGAAAGAAGCGCGCCTGGCGTCTGGGATGGTTCGCAGATGAGCCTATCACCCGCCTGAGGAAGTCACGGCGTGGTCCGGCTGGGCAGTCTCGAGGCCGGGAATGATCTAGGACGGTAGGACCAGTGGTGATCAGTCTTGCGTCTTGCGTCAAGGACTAGAAGTAGAACAAGGGGAAGAAGAAAAAAAGGTTGGCAAGAATGTGGCTGTGAGCCAGGCCTCATCTCATATTTTCGATCGGATATCCAACCAACACTGTCTCCATCATGACGACCACAGATCACACACTCCGAATCAATGTCAACAATAGTGCGTGCTACTGCTACTCAGAAGTTTTCCGGGTCCATAATTACTACGCACTCCATACTGCCCTGATAGCAGTTGTAAATGAACGGTAAGGTAGCGTGGCCGTTGCTGGCTGTCAATAAAGTCGTGCATGTTCAGGGGAGAACGGGGAAGAAGCAGCGGGGTCGCGTGTTTTTCGAGAGCGGGTTGACTTGCAGGTTTGCAGCAAGCGGCCCACCAGAGCAAAGTATCTCACGGTCCTCGCATGTTAGCACGGCCATGAGCAAGAGGCAGCCACCCGGCCCGTCATCCAATGTTGTGTGCAGTGCATCCTCGGCTGTGCACTAACAGAAGTGGACGGTCCACGATACGGTCGATACCCACTCCAAGGGCCGCTGGGCGCACCATCTCCACGAGCAGGTCCTATTCCTGGCGCAGCCCGCTGCATCCTGGAGCCCGGGTTCTCTGCACAGCCCTACTGTCCCTGGAAAGAGCCAGCCTCTCTCCTTGGTCGAGGTGGCATTGGATCGGGGGAAAGCCTGGCACCTACTGAGGTGTGGACGGGTATCCGTAGTGTGAGGTAGTGGACGGAGTACTGCGTACCTAAGTACGGTTACGGTTACTAGCAGAAAAGTCTGGAGAGATTGAATTGAGGGCACTGGCTTTCTGGCTGTGCTGTGCCGGCGCTAACGCAATCCAAAGATACGGGAGGCCGACACATTGGATAAATCGATGGAAGAGATGCACCGACCTGGGGTCCTGTAGGTACCTATGAAGATTGAGGCCTCTTGCTGTTGTCATATTCCTCCTACCTTACTTTATGAATCCTTCACTTGCTCCCGTCGTCCTTTGTTCTCGGTTTGGATCTTCTTCTTCTTCTTCTTCTTCTTCATCTTCTACTCTTGATCGCCAAACGCCTAAAGGCCAATCGCTGAGCGACTTGGAGAAATACTGTCGACCGTTCGACCGTCAGAAAGCACTAATACGAGAAAAGGAAACGGCCCAGTCCTGCAACCACGCAACATAGTACAAACTCCGTAATACCAAGGAAATCTTCCCAGGCAAACCACTCAATCCGTGTCTGATCGATCCATTATCGGCCAGACCAGACCGCAACGGCGACCCACCATCCACCCGCCTTACTTGCAGCCTGCGTACGCTGCACGCCTCTCAATTCAAGACAACACCTCACGCTCACCTTTCTCGAGTCTCACCTCACCACCTCATCATCACTGCTGCTGAAGGAGCCAGAGTTGAATCCATCCACCCATTCATTCGACCACCCTCAATCCATCAACCAGCAGTTGATCGCCCAGTCGGACGAATCGAATCCCACACAGACTTCTTGGAAAGCCCCCGACCCGGCCCTCCTACGCTAAAGGAAGAACCGTCTTACCTCACCGCGCATCTACGCTACAACGCACGCAGTAATTGGAACAGACACCCGACATCTGACTTTCGAAAAAGAGCCGCCATAGCAATCTTGGCCCCTCATTCTTCCTAGGTTTGGTGGTAGTAACACCACTTATACCAACATCCTTACCCACATCTGCAGACTACTACAACAACAACAATAACCTCCGTCAATCCACGCCTTATAACGTCGCTCTTTTGCCCTATTCACTCATTGTCAAAACTCACTCGAACCATTGACTACGCAGTACGGACACACTCTTGCGCCTTTCCCGAAAAACTTGCCAAGGTTGTCATCGCTTCCCGTCCGCCGTCGTCCACCGCCCACGACCTTCCCTGCTCAGGACCTTCCTCTCTACATACCCCCGTGGTTCCCCCCCTCCCCTTCCCTTCTGGTCCTTTTGGGTCCTTGGTCCTTGGTCCTTGCTCCACTGCTGCTTAGCGTCTCTTGGACTCCACCCCCCCTCCTCCTCCTTCCCAGCGGACCCAGCCAGCCAGCTCACGCTCCAGTGGCTCCTGCACCTGCACCTGCACCTTTCTTTTCACCTGGCACACCCCGGTTCACACAACCACTGCCCCCCCGAAAGCCCCAAGCCCCGAGCCCGTGGTGTTCCGTCCTAGGTACCTTACCTCTCACCTCATCTTAATCGAATAGGTACCTAGGCGCTGGGCTTTCTCTTGCTGCGCACAAGGTACCGTTGCCTGCTGCCTTCGCCCCCCCCCCTCCCGCCAGGTCCCTACCGACTCCGTACGTTACTACGTATTCTTGCGCCTGTCAAACCCGGAGACAGCGAAGAAGGAGGAGAAGGGGAAAAAAAGACAAGAGCCCTGTCCGTCTTTGAACAGATCAAACTCCTCATCCCGTTTCAGCTTCGCACCAACAACATCTTCGCATTCTCTCCTTCTCCAACAGCTTTGCCCCTTGCTGTCAACCAAAACCCAAAAACCCAAAAAACACCCCTACTACGTACCCGTCAGGTCCTTCAGGGAAATCCAAAACTTAATCCCGTCACTTTCCTCTCCCTTTCTTTTACTTTCCTCCTTTGATCATTCGCGCCTGATTCCCTCTCGAATTTCCCGCCGACGGGGTCCTCCCTCGCTCTCCACTCGCTTTCCACACTACCGTTATCCCTTGACCACACGATTGAGACGAGACCACATTGAATCTCTTACTCCGGTTCCTCCAAAAAGAAGGACTTTCATTCGATCCGACTGTCCCTCTTACCGCCGCTGACGCCCGCCTTTGTGTGCCATCTTGCACACCATCGCCCAACCCGACACACGACGTCCAGTACCTTCCGGCACGCAAACACGCACGCACCCAGCCTCCCTTCTCATCCGACGCTTTCCCACCACTACCACTTTTAAGCATCATCTCATCTCGACTCCTTCCGGGGAGTCGCCAATACCGTCGATCTGGCTACAAGGCTAGACTCCCGCCGTTCTTTGCTCGGCGGTGACCCGAACTTTGCCGGCTTCGACCAAGAACTCGCCGCCCGCCAGTACGCTCAACAGTATCAGCAACAATACCAGCAGCAATACAACCCCCCGCAAACTTCAAACAACCAAGGCTACGCTTTTCGCGAAGGTCTCGCTCCATCCACAATGAACGGATCGCGCCCAAGCAGTGGTGCCAGTGGTCCCCTCGGCTTCGGCTTCATGGGTGCCAAATGGCCCAGAATCTTTTTCCTCATCACCCTCGTCCAGGCTCTGCTTTGCCTGGGCTTTGAGTGGTAAGCCGACAACCCTCCGTCGCATTAGGACTCGATTGGTGCTAACAGCGACGCAGTTATGTCTTCTGGAAATTCCAGACTGGTTTGACCGACCAGGACCCTCACCAAAATACAGATACTACGGATGCCACCGACTCGCCGAGAAGGACGATCCCGACGTTCCTGACGCTCTTCATCTTTGGATTCTTGTACGAATTGGTTATCGTCTGGGATGCGCTACGGGCAAAGAACACCATTCAGGTTATCGGAGTGTGCATCGCCAATCTCGCTTTACTCGTCTACACTGCCATCCAGGTCGAACAGATTGAGGAGGCTGTGCAACAGCTGAAGGACAACAATGCCCTGAGGGACCCGACCGACGACATGTGGGCCGACGTCAAGCCTTACCTGGTTGCAAGCCCCTGCGTCTTGGCTTTTGGAACCATCACCATGGCCTTGACCGCCTGGAAGCTTTACCAAGTTTTTGCTTGGGACATTCTGAAGACTATAGGAGCCGACTACAGAATGAAGAAGCGTTTCCTCCACTACCAGGTACGTCACCAGAATCACTTACCTTAGCTCCAACATGGCTAACATGACGACATCTAGATTTATATCGCACTCCTGAAGTTCGATTTCTTTTTCTTCCTCGGTTTCACGGTTCAGTTCTTGGTTATTGTTAACGCCCGCACCGACGCCGAATTTGGATTGACCATTGCTGCGATTCCGATTACCATCGCCATTTTGCTTTTGGCTGCATGGTTTACCAGAATCGAGAATAAGGTTGGCATGGCCACTGTTCTCGTCCTCTACTTTGGCGGCTTGAGCTACTTCATCTTCAAGCTCGTCCGTATCTACCAACCACACACAGCCGAGCAGTACATGCCAGTGCGCAAGTCACTCACTGCCTTCACCGTCATCACCATTCTCCTCATTATTTGCACCATTGCCAACTGCGTGGTCTGCATGCGCAACTTCGGAGCCGGCTTGAAGACCCACCTGCGGAAGCCGTCACGCGATCTCGAGAAGAGCCAGGACCTCAACTCGATCAACCTCCAGGATGTCAAGCCGCAAATTGCGAGCAGAATGACGATTGATTAAAGAAGGGGTGGAGCTGGCTTGACCCGACGAGGCAATGCACGATCAAAGAGATACCGCTCGATTGTACAAAGAAATGACTTAACGAAACAACGCC